CCTGGGTTCAATTCTGGTCTTGGGTGACTGTCTGTGTGGACTTTGCATGTTCTCCTCTTGTCTGCGTGGGTTTCCTTCAGGTGGTCTGGTTCCCTCTCACAGTCCAAAAATGTGCAAGTTAGGTAGATTGGCTATGCTAAATTGCCCCGTAGTTTCCCAGAGTGTGCAGGCTAGGTAGGTTATGTAGGAAATGGAAGACTATGGGGATAGGGTGGGATGCTCTTCAGAGGATAGGTGCAGACTCTTGGGCTGAATGGCCTCTTATCTGCATTGTAAGGATTGTCTGATTCAATGTACAAACACCAGTCAAGGAAGAATTCTCATCAGGGATGTCTGGTTTAGGTTGCTTAAGGGGGTAGGCCATGCTTAGTTCATCAGGCCTGCCCACAAAAATTAAGAGAAAAGAGGGACGAGACATGGGAATCAAAATGCAGAGACTGGGGGCTGCAAGCTGGGTGTAGGATGGATTATGAAGGGAGGAATTATGAAGACAATTATGAAGGGACGCAACTGTATTTGTAAGAGGCATTTGGTAAAGCATGTGTGGAGAGGAGGTAATGCCACAGATGGATGCATCCACAGGTGGGAGCACTCTGCTTTCAAGAGGGAAGACTGTCTGACCACATCTGGCATGGTCACTTAATTGGTCAGGGTCTGGGGCCAGAAAGATTGGCAGGTGTAGGATCACGGTTTGGGTGGAGACCCTGGGGAGGTGCAAACCCTAAGGACTCACAGGAATGACTACCAGGAAGGGTATGTGGATGTTTGGAGCCTTAACTAGAGGCAGAGGCTGGAAGACACTAGCTGAAGAGGGCTCACTATTGCCTTCCATTGTGCTGGAAATTGAAAGTGCACAATGGGGAAGCAAATCACTCTGTTCATACTCAGTGTGCAGATTAGGTGCATGAATAAGAAAGGTTTAGAGGGAGATGGGCCAGGTCTGGGCAAATAGGACTAGATTGGCATGGTCAAGTTGACCAAAAGGTCTGTTTCCATACTGTATGATTCTATGACTCTCGTGTCTTGACCTGTGAGAGAGTAGACTGCAGAATCTACCAATACAAGGTCTTTTACAGGGAAACAACCTTACACACAGACACATACCTACAGAGTCCTTAATCTCTGGCAATGGCAATATATTGCCTCTCTTTATGCTGTACACATCTATGCCATAGACATCTCCAACTACTTCATTCACACCAATGCATTTTGGACACACAGGCCAGGGAAATAATAAGGATGTTTTAGGATGAGGGGCAGTGCTGTAAACAAAACCCATTGCCCTATATACACCTTGTTCATTTTCCCTCCACATGCTGCAGCAGGGTCTCAACACAGACATCAACCCATGGTTAGAAACAAAAAAACTGCGGATGCTGGAATCCAAGGTAGACACACAGGAGGCTGGAAGAACACAGCAACCCAGGCATCATCTGGAGGAAAGGAGCAGTCAACATTTCGGGTATTACCGAAATTTACCAATGCAGTTCTGAGGAAGGGTCACTGGAACCAAAACGTTAACTCTGATTTTTCCTTCACAGATGCTGCCAGACTTGCTGAGCTTTTCCAGCAGCTTCTGTTTTTGTTTTGGGTATTACCCTTCACCATCCTATCTCCTTGTGAGGGAGAGATCAACTGAAGTGCTCACAGGGTTTCCTGTCCTCCGCTCCTGTGACTTTGGTTCTGAGGACCAATGTCTGGGACAATGAAGTGCAGGTGTATGAACATCTGAAGTTATCATTGATGCACAAAAATCCAAAGCAGCACCTCATCTCTTCAGAAATCCTAGCAAAAGGTGATTCAGATCTGCAAGTGTAGTGGCACCTGATACATCTTCAACAGATTTGGGAGCAGGGCTTTTTCTGTTGCAGAATGACAAAGTTAATCACTGCATTGATATGCCTCTACATTGCTAACAGAAATAAAGCTTTACAGAGCTTTACACTACAATTGAGAAAGAAGCTTTAGCAGCAATGGGAGCGTGTGAAATTATTTCGGTCACAATTATTTCAAGACCAAATTTGTGCATAGACCATTGATCAATCTTCTGAACACAACAAAAATCACCAAGATACTACCTAGAATTCAGCAATTCAGATTTTGTCTCATACACTGTGACTCAGATTTAGAGTATTGACAGGAGAAATATCAAATGACAGCAAACACACAGTCAAGGACGTCATCGATTACAATGGAACAAGAAGATTCAAACTTCATTAAACAGTTTGAAGCCTGCACCTTAGATGTTCCTAAATACTTACCAGCTAATGAAAGCAAGCCACCAGCTATCTAAGAAGGCAATGGGATGAAGAATATATCTAAATCCAGAAATGCTCTCTTGAGGGATGGCCATTTTATCAATTCTAACAATCCAAAGGTACACCAGTATTTTGAAACTATAAGGACTTCTATCATTGATGACTTGCTAGTCTTCAGTGATAGATTAAGAATACAAAGAGCTTTTTAATTTGAGATTCTTCAATGAATTCATTAAGGATAATTCATAGTTACAAAGTGTTATGTGAGAGCACCACAATCAATCTGGTAGCCAGGCATCACTCAATCAATATAGAAAATTGTCACTGTCTTTTGTGCTGCAAACAGCCAAAGAAAGAAGAAATTCTATTATCTTTTCATCTATTCATTCTATCCATCTTTTCCATCAACATCATTTGAGTGTCTGGGAATGGGTTTATTTAAATTAAACAGGAAAATGCTCATTATTGTTGCAGACAGCTACTCAAAGTGGATTGAAGTCAGTTATCTGCACAGTACCATAGTGGAGGCAGCAATAAACTTGCTCAAGAGGATCTGCAAGGGAATCTGGATATTATAGAATCAGACAATGATGCATAGTTTTCAAAAAAACAGCTTAAGAGATATGCACATAAGTACAATTTTGTTCATGTTGCTGGTTCATCTCACTCTCCTCAAGCAAATGGAGAAGCTAAGCTAGGAGTGTTAATGATAAAAGCATTGCTGAAGAAGAATGAAGATTTGAACCTTGTATTTATTAAATTACCAATCTTCACTCAGAATGAGTTATCACTGTCACAGATAATGATGGTCAGGAGACTAAGAACACAAATTCTATCTCTGACTCTGATGTTAAACCCTCAGATTACCAAGAGTGATCATAACAGACTGAAACAGTACAAAGAGGACCACAGAGGCAATGAGTTTCAAAAGTTCAGTAAAATTCACATAGCACATGTATTACCAGAGCTGCAGCACAGGGAGAGAGAAGTGTGAGAGATCAGTAGAGAGAAAGAATGATCATTGCAGAAGTAGATTGTGTAAGGTTGAAACAGATCATGTTGATTATAAGGAGAAATCGTAATGCATTGATATCATTGAACAAGAAACTAACAGAAAAATAGAACTATTTCTCAGAACAAGAAAACTCTACCACCATCACGCTGACAGAAGGGACAGTCCAGAACATCCTTGATTCAGAATGAGACCAGAACTAGATCAGGGAGATTGGGCAAAGCCCCAAAGTGACATCTGAGACATTGGGGAGGAGATTAGAATGTAAATATAACTGGAATGAAGACTTTGGGGAGACAAAGAGTAATTGCAATAACATCAGAAGCATACATAATGATGTAGTAATGATATCAGAGCATATGATTAAGTAGAGAGAGCTGGAAGAGAGCAGAAGCTGTAACCTAATGTGAAAGGGACATGCCTGAAGATCAAACTGTAAATAAAGAGTTCCTGCAGAAAGTTGCATGGACTTCAGTAGGATTATTTTGAGTGGCTAAACAGAGTTAAACCCCAAGCATGCAAATATTTTCACTGCCTTTGGCATGTGCCACCACCAAGCCAATCATTCCTTTCTGGGATTTCTAAAAGAACATTCCATCCCTGTCATCCTGCTCCACTTCTCAATCGGATTTAAATCCCATTCTCTTTCCAATGGAACTATTCCATCTAAGTGCATATAACTCTACAACTTCCATTTTCTCTCTCCTCACCGTCCAAGTCACCATGTGCTCTTTCCAAATGAAATAATGATTTATATGTAGAATTAATTTAGTACACTGTTTCCACTATTCAATATACGGCCTGCCCTACACTGAGGAGAGATTAGTTGACTGCTTTGCAAAATATTTCTGTCCACAAGCTTGACCCTCAATTTTCCAACAGTCACATGTCATTTTAATTTGCCACCTTTCTCTGATGGTGACCTCTTTGTCCTCAAATCCTCAGTGTTCTGATTTAAGCTAAATGTAAGTTTGAGGAACAGCACCTTAAGTTTAAAGTAGGCATTTTACAATCTTTTCAACTTAACATGAGATTCAACAGTTTCACACTAATTTCTGCCCATAATCTATTCAGGTTTCTTTGCATGTTTCAGTCTTAACTCATTCTTTTTTCTCCTTTTCGGTTGCAGCTGTCATTTCTTCTCATGGCCCATCTTTTGTTTCTTGTCCCATTATCGCTCCTTTTGAACCATTAAACTCTTCTGATATTTAATCTTTCTAGTCTTCCATCCTAACCCAAACTTACCCTTTTATGTTTTTTTGCACTGCTTCATATGCTGAATATTTTGAGTATTTTCTGTTTGTTTCAGATTTCCAGCATCCCCAAGATATCACTTTTTCTCAGGGATTTATTGCAGTTTCAGTAAAATTCACATAGCACATGTATTACCAGAGCTGCAGCACAAAAAGAGAGAAGGGTGAGAGATCAGTAGAGAGAAGTAGAGAGTTGTTTGCAGAGATGGTAGCATTCTGCTAAGTCTTGAAAGACCAATGCTATATGTTTCTGTGACCTTCATGAATCACGAGATTCCAGGCACACTGAAACTATTTTACTGGTGCTCCTTTCACGCTGCAGTGATGTTGCTTAAACCACACAAACATCCTTGACAAGCCGACTTTATACCATCTGTGCCAAAATCATATGTTTACTTTGGCAGGTTTCAGGAGTGCATAAAATTGGTTAGAAACTGAAAGTAACTTACTTGCCTGCAATTTCTCTTTCATGTGTAGCTCAGAACAGCTATGGTGAATGGTGAAACTGGATCATTTTCAATGAATGTTAAAGTACCTGTTGATGATGGGGTAAGATTTGCAATTATTTTAACATGTTCTACTTGTGTGCGATGCAATGTGATGTCATCTTTATGTTTTGGAAATTACAATAAGTACACTTGGACTCACCAGATAGGGTTTAGTGGGTGCTTGATTTTATTCACTTCTATCAAATTTGATTTGCAATTCACAATTCCACACAGGGACATTTCAGATCTTGGAACATCTGAGGCATACTATGAGAGCAGATCTCCTGGCCAGAGTAGCTATCAAGTAGCAACAGACTGGTTAAGGGGTTAGTGATGTCTCTCCCAACCTGTGGTTAGTTCCTGTTTGCCCAACCGTGGCACAGTTGAGATCAAAGATGATTTTATGAGGAAATGAAGATACATATGATCAACTGCCAGTGATCTTATGCATCAAAGACCTAGGCTGTCTAACCCTGCAGATCTCAAAATCAGTGCAAAAGAAACAAGTTTGAGAAGTAACAAACTCGGATTGACACCCCACTGAGTGTATAACTTTAGGTGCTTCACTGCAACAAAATTAGCAGTCCAACAATGTGCACTGTTTCAAATGAATATGATCGAGGTACTGTCTTTGATCTCCATCTGTCAAGCCAGTAAACCTCTTTCAGTACTGTGTTGTTGATAATGGGTTGTGAAGGTGGCAGCCGCTGCTTTAACTACCTCCCTCTGCTGTGTTTTTTTGCCTTTCTACGCCAAACAATTCTGTCTTTCTTCTACACTTGTAACTGTAGATTTATCCCAACATAAGAATTTGACATTGTTTTTCCTACAAGTCTCCTTGCAGTTACACGCTTCTCTTCTCACCTGGATTTGCACACACTTCTCCTTTAAACCTACAATTGGGCTGTGAATAATGTAACAACACAGCAGTTACTGCTGTTAATGATGTGAATTTATATCAGTGATAATTAAGAGATACAGCAAGCCATGCAAACCGAATTTCAAATTTAATAAAATCTAAAATGTGATCCAATTAAGAGTTAAAGGATCAAAGTCAACTTTTTTTTCATTTTCTGTAGTGGGTTGTTATTACTGTCGTGACAAACAAATTCCATTTTTTAATAATATATATCTGCTACCCTTTCTGAACACATACCATTTATGACTGGAAGGCCATTCTTAGTTCCCTACCCTTAGACTTCTGCCAATATTTTTCTGTAATTGCCATGTTGCTGTGACTGGCAGAGTCTCTTCATTTTGTTCCTCCATGACCCCACCCATTTTATGATATATCAGCCAATCAATATGATTGTGTACCAGAGACATACACCAGCTATCACTTTGTAGCATACTTAAATAGAGGGCTACTTTAATATTCTGCCTTTTGGTAGTTTACACTTCTAATAGGAATTATTGGCCACTACCATAGTTTCTGCAGCAGATCAGAGCTTTGTAAAGCTTCCAGGCATCCAAGGGTTTTCTGCCTTCAGGGATACATTGATAATATTGTGATTACATATTAGATGTCTCTTTATTGTTTGTTAGTGGAGTTGCAAGAGTTTAAAAATATAACAGAGAGCAACTGCTGGAGATTGATTACCAGCAGAGGTTGAAACAACTGGCTCTTAATTACACAGTGTCCTATAACAATTGTGACATTGTCTCGGGCCTGAAGTAACTGTCACCAAAGTTACTTTGGCATGCAATGTAGATGCATAAGATGGAATTGTTGCATTAAATTACTTGTTTATACAGATCTGTTGTGGTTATTCTGTGTTTAGCAGTCTGGGAGATATTGGTGCCAAATGGGCATTGATTTGGCTCATGCTAGAGTCTGACTGAAAGGTGAAAGACCAGTGATATTGGTGCTAATAAAGCATCTGAAATAGTTACTATGCTGATACTATGGCTATAAGAGATGTATTTTGTTCGTTTTATAATGAAGAAAGTTTGAGACAGGAGAAAAGTGGTCTGCTCAAAGCCAATAAAGTCAACAGCTTGTGATGCCTTAGGTTCTTTTTTTGAAGTTGGAACAATAGAAACCACCTGAATGGGTGAGGTCAAGCTTCCACAGAACCAGGATTTTTAGTTTTTAGCTTTGTGCAGTTGCTGGAGTCTTGAAACTGGAAGTGAAAGCTCTTATTCCTCTCTCTGTTACGGCTAAAAGGTGGGGTTCTCTTCCTGCAGCTACAATTGCATGTGAAACAATCTGTTTTATTGAATCTGCCTTTTCTAAGATTGTGTTTATGGGATGTTACTATATTGGAACAATTAATTAGTAGTAGTTAATATATATTATTTTGTTAAGCATTTTGATAGAGTTACAGTTAAGCCAATGTTCTTTCTTACCTTTTTATTTTGTCTGTATTTTAACTGTAGTGCAAAAATAAAGTGTGTTTTCTTAAAGTTGTGTAGTCGGACCAAATTGAAGGGCATCTCAAACACAATGCCTTACACTTACTTTTAAAATAAGAAAAGGCTAGGGTCTAGGCTATCTTATTAATTTATTTTGAGGGGGTTTGGTCTGGACCATAATATTAATCTTTTCTGTGGAATACAACTCCTGAGGAATAACAAAAGATGTAGAGTGTACATTCTTTCCCATAGGGGTGAACAGTATTTACATAATCTCTAGGTTGTCAGTGTATTCAGATATACCACTAAAATTTACCTGACTAAACCTGTGTAGTGTGCCTATCCTGGTTGATCTGCAGACATTAAAAGTCACTGTCAGAGTGAGACACTGAAGTCACATGTCAGTCAGTACAGATAGGCTTTCAGATCCTCCTTGCTAAAGGACATTAGTAAACCAAATGGGTTTTCACAACAATATGACTATTTTCATTGTCTTATCCGAGACAGTAAATGAGCAGATTGATTGAATTAAACCTTACAATTTGCCATGGCAAGATTAAATTCACAATTTCTAGTTTGCTGAACCAGGACTTTAACTACAAGGTCATTATAACCATTGCTGACTAGGGCACTATTATTGACAGAACATATTAGTAGAGTGTCAAAGTTCCATGGCATGGAAAGCTATCTTGGTATTACATTAATCCCAAATTGACACCATTCACCTCAACTGCAGGAATGATTGCCATTAATTGATCAGCACAACATATGCAAGTTGTGGTCTAGGGTTAGCAGTAGTTATTTTGATAAAGTATGTGATGTCATTTTAGTTGCATACATAGCTGACTTTGCACATTGCTAGCCAAGTATAAGAGGATTACGTAGTTGACACATGTCAAGATATCTATATATTCTAAATGAGCTAATGTGCAAAGCTTTCTGTGCATATTCACACACACAATGTGTTAGTACCCTCACTGATATTTCATTACTTTTGTTCTTATTCTTTTATCAATTTTGAATTATGAGATGGAAATGACTGATGGACTTTGGGTACAGCCTGTGGTAAAAGGAAAAGAACAGACCAAAGAAGCTTTGTTTGTTTGCCTGGAGGCTAATTTCAGGCTGAGCCTTGATTAAAAAGTTTCTAACAGACACTGTGACCCCAAGAAAAGTATTGTATTTAAACAGATAGCAGAAGTTGGCTATTAACAAAGTCAGTACCTGGGAATTGGTTCTGGCAAGTCTGGAAGAAACCCCAGTGTTCAAACAGGTGGCAGTTGTTGAATGGTAATTGATGCCTCAGGAAGAATCAATCAGTCTATCAGGCTATAACCAGAATCAAAATTGTTCTTTTTCAAAACTATCTTTTCTGAGAAAGGGTTTTGGGTTGATGCTGAGACAGTATAAAGATTTGAAAGTTCCCTGCCTAATCTGATACTCTGGTTTCTGGAACTTGAATGAGTAGAAAGTTGAGTCAGAAGTGTTGCTGTCTTTGCCTGGATGAACTGAGAAGGTGACCCTTATCAACATTTTAGAAAAACAACCAAGGAGTCCACATTTACGCCTGGAAACATTGCATTGTGAAAACAATTTAAGTAATCTAGCCAGTTTGTTATTTTCTTTTATTTATCCCTTGACTTGTTTGTCTGTCTGTCTTTTGTGTGGACAGGGCTGAAAGCAAACAAATTTTTTGGGTTCAAGCATAGACATTAATTAGTTTGCTGTGTTATTTAATCTTCTATCTGCTGAAATTTTGTGTATTTAATAAATTGTTAGGTCTTTTGTTTAAGTTATTAAACTGGTATCTGGAAATTAATTATACCCAAAGTCTATGGTTGGTTATTCAAAAGTCTGGCTAGGAACCATTAGAGTGACTACTTGGGGGCCTTTGGTTTAATTTTACTATGTTGCAAATGCCGAGGCATAGATGCTGGAGAATCTGAGATAACAAGGTGTAGAGCTGGATGAACACAGCAGGCCAGGCAGCATCAGAGGAGCAGGAAAGCTGACATTTCGGGTCTGGACCCTTCTTCAGAAAAGCATAGAAATTTGTTCAGCTATCTGTCTCCGTGTTGTAACAAATATGCATACGTGTCTTCGGTTCCCTAGTAAAACATTCAACTATTCTTAAATCTATCTTTTTATTCTTTCAGAAACGTGTCTTGTTTCTAACCAATGACTATTTCTACACACACATCGATGACACGCCTTTCAGGTAACATTCTGTTCCCGCCTCTGTGGTTCTTTAATTTCTAGAAAAAGTAGCTTATGAATAAAGGGTAACTTTTAGCTTAAACTAGCTTAAAAGGCAATAAGAATAACGTGGGCTAATGATCCATGCTGGTGGAATGGTATAGTGTCACTGGTTTAAGAAGACATAAGAAAGTTTTTTCTGCTCTTCAACACTGCTCCAACTCTCATGCTGTGATCCGTTGGACTGGTGTCCAAAAATGTCAAACCAAATGTTTATTTATGGCCTCAGTTGAAATCAACTGGCAGGAGATTGGACTGCAGTGGAGTGAGAGAAGGTCTCTAGTATGTTCTTCCCTACCTTTATAAAATTCAAGGCCATTATCAGTACCACTATCTTTCATCTTTCATTTCTGAGGTTCAGCTTTGAGGCTGTACAATGAGGGATAGAAATCAAAATGTTACTATGTTAGAAATCTGCAACAAGGATGGACTGATCTGAAATATTCCCACTGACCAATCTACCGGCCATTGCCCCGTTTCCCACCTAGCAGAATAATTGACATTGACCATAGAGAATACTCTCAGGATGAGCAGTATTTATGGAGCAAGCAAAAAATATTAATGATTGTAGAAGGCTCTTCATCAAAAAGGAGCCTGTTTTCCCATACACTCTGACAGGGCCATTGTATAGTGCCTTATTTTCAAGGATCTTCTGCATGCCCTGAGTACAAACACAAACACCTCATACATCTCATAATAAAGATGCTATCAGGTTGGGAAGAATATTTATATAATGTCATGTTTATGACTTAATTATTTTCTTTTCAGCCTGTGTATTGTTCTTACAAGAGGACATGGTGAATCTCTGTTCATTGGAAATATATCTGTGGAAGAAGGTGAGAATGTATTGCTTGAATACAGCAAATTATCATTAGATCATAAGCCATTAGCATTCAAGATCCTTTTACATCTATCAGAATACTGAAACCCAGTACATTGGATCAATAACCCAACAGTATAGTTAGCAAAAGAAAATGCAGTTTTTTCTTACAATGGTTATTTGCATACTGAAATTTGAAATAAAGCACATGAGATGAATGACATTTTCAAATGAGTAAAGTAAAGTAAGGTAGGCTTCTCTCTCTGTCAGTCATGTCTGAATCCAGTGATAAGACAAATTTGAGATATCTGTGATTGAAAGTATTGCATTAACTAGTGCATCAACACCAAAGAGCTGAGACAGCTGTAAACTCTAGCCACTATGTACCAAAAGCTGGTGAGTTAGTATATCTCTCTGGACTGCCAAATTTTCCACAACATTGCTCCTGCAATGAGAAAATGGATGTCTCAACAAAACTGATATATAAATTTATGAGTTGAACCTGTGCTTACATTTATGCACAAGCAACTGCCCAGGACCACAGATATGGGTTGTGTAAGCAGAAAGAAGCAAAGATTGGGGATCATCTTAGGTGCATATGGCAGATAATGGAAGCTTGCACTCCTCAGTCAGGGCCAGAATTGAATTCTGGCGACTTGAAGAAGTGGGTTGTCCAAATGCTTACTTTCATTGTTTTTGATCATTTGTTATGTTGTATGTTATGTCTTTCCTTAGACTGTTGCTGATACTTATTTACTAAGATTTTAAATATTCATTCTCAGCAAATTGACATAACCTTAGAAGCCAATAATACATAACACCAAGCACTCTAGGCCTAAAATAAAAGTAAAATACTGCAGATACTGAAAATCTGAAATAAACATAGAAAATACTGGAGAAACTCGGCAGGTTTGGCAACATTTGAGCACTTACAGATGCGAACAGATTGGCTGGTTTCTCTAGAAATTTTTGTTTTTACTCTAGCCCTGAAGTTGAATTTGTACTTGTGAAACATTGCTGACATGGTTTCCATCAAATGTTCTTCATATTCTTTCCTCACAAGTCTGATAGTAGTCACCTTCAAAAGTGGCATATGCAGAATATGACTTGCTAACTACAATTGCAGGAGTGAGTTTAGTTTATGTAGTTTACGAGTTTATTCAGTTTGAGGAGAAATTCCTAAAAGTATAGAGACAGGCATTCCTGAAGCTTGTCAGGAGTAGGAAAGTACAGGGTTTTAAGCCAAAGAAACCTGCTGCTAAATCTATTGCCAATCCTCTCATAAGCACTGACATATGAGCTCACTAACATCTGCAGCATCATGCTACTTACCCAAGGCAGCTCTACAATAATGCCTACTAAATTCCTAACTTTACATGTGTGGCTGAATGAGGATTAATTTGTGATTCCCTCTCAGCCATTCTTGGTACTGCATCTCACTGTCTGAGCACATGTACATAGCCATCAATACCAGAGGATTTGGGCAGCAGGTTGAAAGTTAGCACACAAAGTGATGTAAAAAGTACAAGTGAACAGAAAAGTTTGAAGAGCACCAAGCACATCAACAGTGAGGAAATCAAATTCTTCTATAGCTGGTAAGAACAGGAACCTAGATCTGTGAGTCAATCTGTGAGAGGTAATGAGCAGCTTTCAAACCATGCTGGATAGGGTTTATGATTCCATAACTCTCAAAGTTTGCCAATCTTTGCATCACAACTGAATGCTGAGACTGTTGCTTTACAGGTCTTGGTGCCTCATCCTAGATCAGCTAATTGAATTGAAAGAGATGTTGATGAGGACTTCAAAATAATATCATTGTTGTAGTAGGATCTTTTCACTTGATAAAACAGTGCTGATCTTTCCCCAACTTCATGTTTAGGTTATGATTGACCTCTTTTATCCTTTGTTGACACAGTTTTATCATTCCTTCCAAAAAAACCAAAGCCAAAACATGTACAACAATGTCTTGTTTACCTCCTTACTACCACATGATTATCTTCAGAGGCCTACAAACACGACACCTTCCTGTTCTGAATGGACTGATTGCCTTTTAGTGAATCAATTGCAGAAATCAGCTTCCACATGTTCACTGAATGCAGCATCTCTCTTGACAACTCCAACTGTACTGTGACAACAAGGTGCAGGGCTGGATGAACACAGCAGGCCAAGCAGCATCATAGGAGCAGAGAGGCTGACGTTTCGGGCCTAGACCCTTCATCAGAAAAGGGGGAGGGGAAGGGGGTTTTGAAATAAATAGGGAGAGAGTGGGAGGCGGATAGAAGAGGGATAGAGGAGAGGATAGGTGGAGAGGAAACAAACAGGTCGAAGAGGCGGGGATGGGGCCAGGAAAGGTGAGTGTAGGTAGGGAGTTAGGAAGGGGATAGGTCAGTCCAGGGAGGACGGACAGGTCAAGGGGGCGGGATGAGGTTGGTCGGTAGGAGATGGAGGTGCGGCTTGAGGTGGGAGGAGGGGATAGGTGGGAGGAAGAACAGGTTAGGGAGGCAGGGACGAGCTGGACTGGTTTTGGGATGCGGTAGGGGGAGGGGAGATTTTGAAACTTGTGAAATCCACATTGATACCATTGGGCTGCAGGGTTCCCAAGCGGAATATGAGTTGCTGTTCCTGCAACCTTCGGGTGGCATCGTTGTGGCACTGCAGGAGGCCCAGGATGGACATGTCGTCTGAGGAATGGGAGGGGGAGTTGAAATGGTTCGCGACTGGGAGGTGCAGTTGTTTATTGCGAACCGAGCGTAGGTGTTCTGCAAAGCGGTCCCCGAGTCTCCGCTTGGTTTCCCCGATGTAGAGGAAGCCACACCGGGTACAGCGGATGCAGTATACCACATTGGCAGATGTGCAGGTGAACATCTGCTTGATGTGGAAAGTCTTCTTGGGGCCTGGGATGGGGGTGAGGGAGGAGGTATGGGGGCAGGTGTAGCACTTCCTGCGGTTGCAGGGAAAAGTGCCGGGTGTGGTGGAGCTGGAGGGGAGTGTGGAGCGGACAAGGGAGTCACGGAGAGAGTTGTCCCTCCGGAAAGCAGATAA